CAAAGAAGAGATCTGCTCCAAATATTTTTTCCAAAGACAACAATTATTTCGTAGAAGCAAATCGTAAGATTCGCTTGTGTCTAGCCGCTTCTGATGGCTTCCTGTCGACCATCAAAGCCATTCACACCTTGGAGGACAAGGTGGACTCGACTCTTTTATAAACAAAAGTTCACTCGGGTCTTTGTCAAGATGCAGCTTCAACTCCTCCAAGTTCTTAATTGCATCAGATACATATTATACCATTCAGCCAACAAGCAGAGAGAGAGAGAGGGCTAAAAGAAACAGACGGAAGACTAGGCTTCATTGGCTGATCAAGGAATTAACGTATTTTCCGCACCATAAGACGCACTTTTTTCCCACAAAACAGGGGGGTGGAAAGTCTGTGCGTCTTATGGAACGAAGAAAACAGATTATATTTTCCTGTTCTCTTCTAAAAAAATAGTGCGTCTTAGGGAAAGGTGTGTCTTATGGAGCGAAAAATACGGTACTTTTAAGCAATGCAGAGAAAGAGAGAGAGAAAGAGTAAGAGAGAGGTGTGGTACTGAGAACCTAGAACCTTGGTGGTAACTAATAATATACTATTTACAATGTCATTCACATCAACCAACTTAATTAGAAGTATTGTTGATGGCAGACTATTAAAGATACTCATTGTCTATCTTTAAATCTGCATTACCATGTTCTCATTAATAACCATGAACAGTGCTACTAAAACAACAAAACAAAAGCCATTAGGGAAGGTTTAAAACAAAGACATCTCATTTGCATACCGTTCTGCTTATTTTTAGAACAAGCATGGAACAGTTCTGAAACTACCGATTCATGGGAACTGGGGGAAGAAAGGAATGAAATGTTCAAGGTACAGTATCTATGGAAGGAGTATAGTACTTAGCATGCTTATTTTTTTTATTTTTTTGGCTGAGAAATGAAGACAAGCTGAGGACAATGTTTTAAGTGCAATGGAAGTTACTCTGGCAGTCATGTTCCCTTGCTTACAGGTCAGGGAATTTCCTAGAGCAGGAAAAAACACATTTCTAATAGTAGCAACCGTTGACATATTTTTTAAAAATTTTTTAGACCATTGACATCACACACACACTTTTTTTAATTTTTGCAAAACAAACCAAACTCTATCAGGTAGTTGAGTATTGTTAGACCCTTCTTACATATGATGGACTGAGGCCACGAGAGAATAATCTTCCTACAGCTAGATCAAAGGGCAGAGCTTCCTGATTGAGCTTACACCGGAGTGATTGAAAGTTTAATTTCCCATCATGGAAAAGCCTGGATTTTTTGGATAGAGCGCTGTCTTCATTCTTGCGAAGCGCAAGTTTACAAGACATATTTTTTCCAGCAATGAATCCCGTGAGCGTTACCTTCTTGCTAAGATGATGTTTACCTCTCCCTGATGGCAAGGAATTTACGATGTTCTGACTGAGCTAACTCAGAAATTACACTGGAAGCCTCCCCATTTTCTACATTAATGGAACACTAGGGGGGACAAAAGAACAACGATCCTGCCATTTACAACAGAGGGACTGCCAATATGAAAATTAAAATACAGCAGAAAGAGCTGCTGTAGTTCAAAGTCCTAATTGGTATGCTGTGGCCACAACAAGTACATCGTGAAATCCAACACCTAGGACTGATTGTATGCGTGTCATTTCAAACGGTGACAGAACAAGAAACACTACACCTAGCAGAAGGTTGTGTTTTATCTTAAAACCAAGCTGAAATCCGAATGCACAAATAAATACAAGAGTGACTCTGACATTTTGATGTATGTTTACAAGAAGCATTTTACAGTAAGGACCCTCAGAATTCAAGTGTTTTAATCTATTCCTCTTGCACCCACCATTCTTTCAAAGTTCACTGGAAGACTACATATTGAATAAGATGGGAGCAAAACTGACCAGCCCTTTGGAATGGGTGAGCATGGTATTATTAAAAGCTCTATGAGTATCAGTTGGCACAATTTTTTTTCAAGTTAATCAACCAGCCATAACACGGCTATGAGAAAAAAAAGGTTTAATGATCCAGCTTTAATTATAGCGCAGTAGTTCTAGTAAGTGCGTTTTGCAATGTAAGACGACTGTGCTTAATTTCCAATGGTTACGATGACTGCCAGAGTAGTTTAGGATTACATAGTGATTTATCACAATTGTTCTACTGACAATAGTTGTGATTTTCAAACTCTTAGTCAATAATACAAGAGGCATGCAGAATCCCGGGGTAAGTGCATTATTTTAGGGAACTTCAGTTCCTTGTCCAAAATTCTCGGGATTGGAACATCTTGTTCAACTCCTGCCAAAGCTCTAAAAATGATTTAAGAATAAAGGTCACAGATACTGACCACAGGGATGTCCAAGAACATCAGACGCCCTGCTTACCCAATTCAAAGACAACTTACTTTCTCTGTCAATACCAAGCATGGGCACTACTATTTGAAAACATGGGGCAGCCTTCTTGCCATGAGATTTTGGACTTTAATTTCTTCACAATGGTACAAGTCTGATGAAGGGGTGTTTTTATCCCCCAAACTCTGCATATTGTATGATGATTTTGTGGCCTGTAAAGGTACTGCCTACTCTTACAGATGGTGGTTTTTTTTCTTCTGTATATCCCACAATGTCATCTGTCCTACACTGACTCACATACATACGGTGAACATGTATCATCTTAAGAGAAAAAACAGGAAACAAACTCGAGATTCTGGTTTTTAGATAATTGGTTAACTGGAAATATTTGTTTGACTATAAAGTGGCATTTTTAAAGGCTTTTTAAAAATCTGTGTATAACTAGCCCCACTTCATCTGGCTGCAGTATTTTGGACCCACTCAATGGTTCTGAGAAGAATGGGGGGGCAGGGTTAAAACTTCTGGACCTAGATGTAGGAAGCTTACTTTAAAATGCAGTCCACAAGCTGCGGGTACTGTACACACCCTTTGAATTGCTAAGGCCCCTGGCTTAATCCTTGGCGTTCACACTTGTGGGACACTATTCCTTAAAGAAAACTGACAGGATCAGAACTGATGCATAAGTGGTTTGACTCGTATGTTCAACGGCCAACTCTCATGTAATGTTAATCATCAGGGGCTGAAAAAGAGAACTGCAGGTCACAGAGGGAAGATGCTGAGGCATGAGGTTGACAGGACATGCCAATGGTAAGCATGGCATGGAACTAACTGCATCATCAGATCACCCCAGTAACCAGCCCTGGAGGTCAATATAACATTGTCTTCCTCCTCCATCAACATTTGTACCTGGTTCCTTTGACAAAGAATACTACCTGTCTGTTTGAGCACCAGCGCCTGGACAGGGGGCTCAAGTCAACCTGCTCTTACTCTCTCCAAAAAACCAAGCAAAGTGGCATTTTGCTTCCCTGCAGATTGAATCTGACTACCTCTCTGCCTTAAACTCACATGTTCTCCACAAGCATCTGCCCATCCTGTTGCAACCACACAACCAGCCACATTTTCTGGCTCCCCAGCCATCTCAGCGTTCAGGACTGAGGTTTCCAGGTTGCTCCTAGCAACCCAGTACATTTTATTAGAATTTTTCCCTGGCCTCAAACATGAGCAGGCCCCTGCTTCATAAGCAAGCACCGGAGATAAAAGCAATAATTAATAAAACAAAAGCCAGATGCTTGCATCAGTCCTGAGTGCTCAGCCATGATTGAAATAACCAAGCACAACCACAAAGCAGACAACTGCAGCTCCTTAGGTTGAGAAGCGGTCTCCCTTTCACATCCTTGCCTAAGGCTGATGGTGCCCTTATCTTTCATCCAGAAATGCAGGCAGAAGATGCAATTTTACCTTCCATTTTGCCTTAAATTCCTAGACACCTATTAAAGCACTTTAAAATCTTGACCTGAACTCTTGCAGGAGTGTCGGGGGGGGGAGCGTATGTGGAGGAATCTCCCAGCGTTAGTACCTTTTACATAGAGCGAGAATCACATTAAATATTTAGCTCACATGATGCTGCCGAGAGGAATGCGACTGAAAATTTTTGTTCACGTTAACTCCATTAGCATAAATTCCAGCAGCAAACGGCTGCAAGTTAAGAAGTCAATTGTGGGCCTCCCCTGCTGTGCGCCGAGTCACATGGCCACACCGGCGCCTTCACTTGCAGCACTTCACAATCAAGATGATTATGAACCGGGAAAGGGGAGACGAGGTTCACCAACAGCTCCCCAGGAGGAGGATGGGAAAGATATTGAAAAAAATTAGGGAAAAAAAAAAAAGAAAATAGCCATACGTGTATGGCAAGAGGTTAGAAATCTGAAATTTGCATTCAGCGGGAAAGCTGAAAACCTCAGGAGATTGGCAAGACCTACAGTAAACTTTCTTGTATAGTTAGTGGTGCTTTGCTTCATTTAGGAAACGCCAGAGAGAAAGGGAGAAAAATTCCTTTTCACCAGGTCAAGAATTTTGGAGCAGCCCAGAAAGCAGATAAACACACTGGTCTATATCAGATGTGACATAACCAGGGATCTGACAGAACTACAGCTTATCACATATGAGTCATATATGCTTTGAGATCTTCCCCAAGGCAACGCTGGCGACAGAGTGGGAAAACCGAGGGGCGAAACAAACCACAGACTAAGCATGTTTTGCTTAGGATTAAGGCATAAGCCGCGGACTCCGGCTTGCATCTCCCTCGCAAGCCAAAAGTCATAAGACAAAAAACAATGCAAACTTAGGAGACTTCCTTGTTGGGAGAAAGACCAACAAAAGCACGACATGATACATTAAATAAACTATGGGAAGCAGGCTCACCGTTCATTCAGTCACCTTTGCTTCCTGAAAAATTCAAGTGGAAAAAAACGAGCAGTAACTAATACATTGGCTTACTGACTAAATTCTGGTTTGCTTTGACTTGTAAATGCACCTAATATTTAATTTGGATCCTACCTTCCAAAGCTTTCACTTGACTGACTTCAAGAACTGCAGCCTGAGCCCGTGATGACTTACAAAACAAAAACCATTTGTTGCACTCACCTCCATATTGAACGTGTTCTCCTCCATTTTTTCCACCTCTGCATCTGCCAAGGGGTTCTTCAGGTTTTGCAGGAACAAAGCCGCTTTCCTCTTCCGTTCCGCCTGAAGCTGTTTCTCTTTCGACTCCTTGGAGGCTTGGGCGAGCTTTTCCCGGGCAGCGGCTGCCAGTCTGTCCTCAAGTTTCTGCTTTGCTGGAGGGGACAAAAAAGGATGTCAGGAAGATGCAGAAAAGTGGAGGTTTTTACAAGAAAAGAATTCACACAAAGCTTGAATGCATCAGCATTTCCTGCCCCAAGCTGTGCCATGGAGACAGGGAGTTGTGTGCAATTCTTAAAGAACGGCTTGAGCTTGTACTGACTGTTTATAAGACTTTTAAAACACACTGGATGCTGTAAATAAAGTGAAATATAACCACCTCGATTGGCAAGTTCTTATTTTAGAATCATGGAATGAAAGGAACTTTAGAGAGGAAAGTTTTCACTGCAGAAGCAGAAACAAAGATTGCGAGAATGAATGCATGGACGAAAGGGAAAAGAGGGGTTTTTAAATTATTTCTTACAGTTGGATGCAGAAGCCGGCAAATTACCTCTACAGGGAAAGAGTTCAAGCACAGGAAGGGCTACAAGAAAGACAGTGCAGAGATGAAAAATATCCAACAGAGTTGATATCTAACACGGACAGAAACACAGGAAATCATCATATAAGAAGTTCAACAGTTGAGTCTACTGAGATGAGTACTAGCTACAGTAAGTATACTGATTTTTGTGTAAGGGTTGTGCAGCTAATTGCTGCAGTGTGGGATGTGTCTTGGTCAGCCACCTGCTCACACACCTCACTGTGCAATTAAGAGGCATCCAGGCTCTTCACCAATTAGCTGCAATTAGCCATGACAAGTAGATCAAATCTTATGCAAACATTAACATTGCCTGGGAATGGCTTTCTTAAGCTATCTAGCAGTAGTCTTTCCCAGATCAACTTGGAGACATCGGGGACCGATCCTGGCATTTTTGGCACACAAAACAGAGCTACAGAGCTTGCGACTGGTGAGGAGACTGAGGAGGAAAAGCAGCAACAGAAATAAGAAAAGAGGCAGTACTGACTGTTGGACTGGGATGTTCAGTGAGGCAGGTTAAAACCTCTTTCAAACTTCAAAGGGTAACCTTTTGCTCCAACTCTTTGTGGGGTAGAAAAGAGCTATGAATGCAACTTGCAGGGAGCTACCATATTTTTCACACCATAAGACACACTTTTTCCCCCACAAAACAGGGGGGTGGAAAGTCTTATGGAGCGAAAAAACATTATATTTTCCTGTTTTCTTCTCCTAAAAAATTGGTGCGTCTTATGGAGCGAAAAATACGCGACTTAGTTAACATCCTAACAAGTTTCAAAAGCACAACTTTCTCAAGGCACTTAACAAACCCCATCCCCTAACATTTTCTTCCGGTCTCCTCAAGGTCCAACTCCCCAACTGGACTTAAGCTGTAATACTCAGGCACCAAAACATGAGGGTTTTTTCTAGCCATGATGGCTGGAATACACAAACCATTTCAGAATTATGAGAAAGAACAGCAGCATCAACATTCAGAGGCAAGACTTCCACAAGGCAACCCGTCCAACGATGGAGAAGCATCGACCTTTCGCATCCCTCCCCCTGTACTTCATTTCCATTGCAGCCAAAGGATTTTGGATTTTGCTGTCCAAAGTATCAAAAAACCTGTCCCTTGGATCAGATTTATGAATGAACGTCCGGCACACTGGCCTGGCATATTATACCATTATTTCTTAACAGGAAATTAAACGTTATACTGTAAGATTGAGCGGATGAACTGCCTTGATAAGCCCTTATTAAGAAGTGTGCGTCCAAAAACTATCTGCTTTAATTACCTCTAAATAAATTAAGGCATCTGATGGAGCTGCCTTTACCTTCCTCTCCCACACAGAAGTAATTATCCCAGCATTACATCATCACACATCACCATTCTGCTGCTATGTTTGTAACACTCCTGTCTTGGCTACTTTAAGGCAGTGGTCCCCAATCTTGGGCCTCCAGATGTTCTTGGACTACAAACCCCCGAAGCTTTCACCACCACCTCTGCTGGTCAGGACTTCTGGGAGTTGACGTCCAAGAACATCTGGAGGCCCAAGGTTGGGGACCACTGCTTTAAGGTACACTTGAATATGAAACCTCTTCTGTCTCTTAGCTCTTGCTCAGATCAAGGTGGGTGGGAAGACTTCCCCTCTTTACTTTCAAACACAAAGGAAGCAGCCATATCAGTTCCTGCCAAGTGTTACATAGGCGTGATGTTCAGAATTGCTGATGTTCTCTACATTGGCAGATTTAATTGGCTGCTTGAGTAGGGGAGAAGACTGAAGCGGGGCCATGCATACCCCTTCAGTTTTGTTGAATAATTTCATTTTTTAAGCATGAGAGCTCACTCCAAGATGGCCTGGGACGGCCAAGAGTATTTGGAGAACTTCAAAAAGTTCCAGATTGCAAATTATGTCTCCTTGAAATACAGACTAATAAATTATCTGCTTTCAACCCATTTAGTGGGAAATGAAAGCTCATTAACTCAATAAGGCTTAATATCTGAGCTGAAGAACTGTTCTGTTAATCGCTATTGAAAACACCAGGATATAAAGAAGCGCTTCAAAGATTAATACAGTGTAGACATCTTCACAGATGGGCAACAGACAGCTCCCCCTGAATTTTATGAAAAAAAATGCATTCACAGGGGTATTAGGAACAAAACTAGAGAATGCTATTTCCCAATGTGCTAGGAACTACTTTAACAGTGAGAAGTATGTTCTTGCACCAGAGCCCAAAACAATTTTTCTAATTCTGAAGCACCATCAACAAAATATCTAAACATCCGAACCCCTTCAAGCAAACCATTAAGGCTCTGTGGTGTTTAAAGTAATCTTCCCCAAAACAAACACTGATGTTTCCAATGCTTCCCACTTTTGATTTTATAATACGCAGCTGCCATTAAGTGGAAGTTTATTTTATTTGTTTCCGTTTTCTAAACTTTGGAAAAACATTCATGCCCCTGGGGTTTATGATACACATTTAAAATGTATTTCATGTGAGCATTTTCAAGAAAGAGTAACTTTTAAATAATTAAGATTTCATGAAGATTTAGGGCTCAATTAACGCATTGGAAATGAAAAACACAGATAGCTCATCTTTATCTTCCACAAATGCAATAAAATAAAATAAAATGGATTTTATCAAGCATAGCGAAAAGGATCGAAAATGTTATAATAATAATAATAATAATTTATTGTAAAAAGGATCGAAAATGTTACACACTTGGTTTTAAACTGAGAGAAAAATATTCTCCCCCAGGAATTCTGATACTGTATTCATTCTTTTTCCTTTTCCTGCAGTTATGGAATAAATATTCACCAAGAGATCCTGGAATCTATGATATTTTCCTGTAGAAGATTTGTATCTCAACTTGTTATATATATATATATATATATATACTGTGGTTTACATTGCATTTATTTCCAGTTCTGGCTTCTTCCAATCTTCCAGCTACTTCATTACAGAGTCTCAAATGCTAAGGAATATAAATCAAACTCTGGAGCAGACTCAAAGTGGAATTCCCATGGTAGGAGAGTCATGGAGCCTAAAGCAGATAGCTGGTGACAACACTCACACAAAGATTTCACTCTATCCATGTCAGTGTGATGACAGATTGCTGTGAAAGGCTGAATCCTAGCACTGAACCGTTCTTTGAAAAGAACTCTTCAGAAAATCTAGAACACATCTTCCGAGTAATTAAAGCATTCTCTTTCCTTCCGTAATACAGCATTAAATGTATCCAATACCCATCATGAGGACAAAGGACAGGCTATGGGCTGCTGTACCTGTAAGATGGATGTGCTTCCCAGTTCATGATCTCGATATTCAGTGACACAGTTTGAATTCACAGAATGGAAGCAGAAAGTGCTGGTCTACTTACTATATAATGCCAGGCTCTGAAGCCTGAGTTAATCTCGACAAAATTCGACCTGGTGAACCAAGGAGAACTAGGGCTAATTGGCAAAAGTTTAAAAGAACCAATACAGTGGTGCCTCGCTTGACGTTAAATTCGTTCCAGTGAAATCGCTGTAGAGCGAAAACGTCGTCAAGCAAAATAAAAAAGCCCATTGAAATGCATTCCAATGGGCTGAATATCTGCTCGTCCAACGAAGATCCTCAATACGGTGGCCATTTTCGGGTGCCTGTTAAGCGAAAAATGCATCCTAAAAACAGCGGGGAGCCATTTTGAGCAGCCGGCGGCCATTTTGAAAACCCGACGATCAGCTGTTTTGGAGCAGGGAACTGATTGTCGCAAAGCGAAGAAACCCCATTAAAACATTGTTTTGCGATCGCAAATGTGATCGCAAAAACATCGTCGTGAAGCAGATTCGTCGTTATACAGGGTAATCGGTAAGCGGGGCACGACTGTATTCGGACTGAATAGAAGGCAGCTAGCTATGTTCTTAATGGGAGTTTGTACCTCCACTGTATTGTTCTGCATACTGGGGTGAGATGCCGTAAAACACCATTAATACTGGCAAGGATTCCTGAAACTGGAACTCAGTGGAAACATCTCATCATATTCTGAAGCCGATCCAAAGCCTGTGCTTTCAGAATGCGTATCAAAGGGTTGTATTAAAGCAAATTCCCCAAAGATACCTTGCCAAAGTGATGCCGGCTAATGCATTATGTGACAGCTAATACTGAGGGACAATTAAAATGTCATTCGTTAATTATAAGAAGATCACGACAGGACGGGTATCAAATTGTGAGCAGGGGCTTATGAACCAATTCTCAGAGTGCTTTGCTGGCAATGACATGCCCAGCATGTCACCAAGGCTAAAGCCAAGCGGTTGATTTAATAACCAGTAACTCTGTGTCTTACAGAGCAGGCTTCATGGTAAAACTCAAAGGAGGACCCTGTAGGGTCTAACTCTGTCCTGTGTTAGTACAGTGGTGCCTCGACTTACGAACGTCCCAAAAGACGACCATTTTGAGTTACGACCAACTCCGGCTGCAAAAATATTGCTTCGACTTGCGGCTGGAGCTTCCAGTTACGAAGAGAAAAAGGCAGGGAATTCAAATTGCTTAACCATTGGTAGGCGAACAGGCTGCTTCTTTGCAACTCTTTCGGCCCATCAGTTCAGAGGAGGCTTCACTGCCTGGTAAAGTGCTGCTTTCTGCTTTTTAAAAACTGTTCTGGGTGGGTTTTGCAGAGTGGTTTTGGGCTTGGTGGTGGGATTATTTTTCTTTGCTGGGTCCTGCGAGGTTTTTTTTGTTTTTTCCCCCCCCCCCCATTTCCAATCGTTCTCGGGATTTTTCCCCATTCCTGATGGGTCTTGCGGGGTTTGTTTGCTTTTTTTTTTTTGCATTTCTCAAGGGTTTTGCACGTTTGTTTGCTTTTCTTTTCTTTTCCCCCTTCGGCCAGAACGGATTAAACACATTTCCAATGGGTCTTGCAGTGTTTTCCCCCCCTCTGGCCGGAATGGATTAATTGCATTTCAATGCATTCCTACGGGGAAATGGTGCTCCGATTTACTGCCTTTTCGAGTTACGACCGGAGTTCCGGAATCAATTAAGTCCGTAAGTCGAGGCACCACTGTAATGGGCATTAAGGCAGATGCCTAAGACACTTGAGAATACAGCAACGAACAGTGCAACACACCTCCTGCACAACACCATATGGCAGACAAATCGGCACCCCAAATGACTATGACTCATCTCCATATCGTCGTCAATTCCATTTACCTCCTAAATGCAGCAATTTGGTTATCTCCGCAGGCCGTAACAAAAAGAACATGCTCCTATTATGCACGAGTCCTAGAAATACGCTTTAAAGTAAAATTGTATATACATGTTTTAAGAAAGCATGCTGAAGAAGATGGCTCCTGTTTCTTTCCGCCTACTTATCTACCCGTCTGTCTTTCTTTAAGGAGGATTTAGCCACAGCTTAATGAAGGCAGTTTTCAAACGCAGGGTTTTCCAGCCTCTACGATTTGCACGCTCCAGGTATTTTCACTTTCCGGAGCGCAGTAATTTTTTTTTTACCTTGTTTGGCTTCCAGTTCCTCTTGCGTCAGCTGAGGCTTCTTTTCCTCGGCCGCGCTGCTGGATGAAGCAAAGGCCGCGCTGCTGTTCGAAGCGCTGCTCGCGTTCTCCTGCCCGTCTTTGCCTTCCTCCCCTTCCTCGTCACTGTCGTCGTCAAGTTTCACGCGGTTCTTCTCCAAGGGAAGCATGTCGTTCTCTTTGGCCCTGATGGCGAAGCAGATGGGGGCAAAGGAGGCTGTAAAAAAAAGAGAGAGAAAAAGGACACGGGCAATTAGTGCCAACCAGTAGCCACCCTGAGGAGTGACCAGTAGCCACCCTGAGGAGTGACCGCAAACGAAAGGAACACTGGGACGAAATATTATGCTGTTTCCTATGGTTGCCATTAAGCTCAGGCATCTGTTGAAAGGGGGAAAATAGGATTGTAAACTGCTGAGATGGAGTTTTAATCCACTGTGGTCTTTGAAGCCAAAGTGGAAATTTCAGGGCTTGACCCTCTAGCCCAGTCCTGTGTATTCAGACTCTCTCTGCAACACTTAAATCTCTCTTTCCTCCGTACTTTTCCCTCTGCGGGCCAAATGCCTTATAAAGCACACCCTTTTAAGGGGAGAACGGAGCTGGTGATTTGATAAGCAAGACGAGGAAAGCCACAGATAAATCAGCTCAAACCTTCTCCCTCCACTAAGTTTAATGAATCCTGTAAAAAAGGGACAAGAAAAATGACCCTCGAAGCGATGCAGCTAAAAACAAAAACCCCTCAACAGGAATCATTCTAGAAGTGCGTGTGCAACGTGGAGAATCCTAATCCTATTCTCCCAATCCAGGGGTAAATTCTGAGCTGAGTATTTAGAAGCCCCACTTCTAAAGCATTCTAGAGGCCACGGCTGGAAGACTCAGAAGAAAATGGCACTGGCATTGCTGGCTTTAAGCAGATTACATCAAAGAGTAAAAATCAGCCCCCTCCCCTTCTAGCACTACTGTTGCTCAAAGGAAATTAAGTGGCAGACAAGCAGAACCACGCCAGATAAGATAATGGCGCAGCCTGACATAACAAAGGCAAAACAGATATGAGAATCTCTCATGCGTGGTTTTCCTGAAAGCTCAGATTGCCTCAAATATAAATAAGCATATGGTGATACTCAAATTCACGTATACTAACTTGGCTTCCTTCTAACAGTGTATGGGCAACCTGCCACTTCCATGACATAGTTCACATTTCTACTCCCACTTTGGTGGCAACTCTTTTAAGATTAAGGATTGCATTTGTTTCCCCGGGGGGCAACATTACTTGCTCTGTTTATACATGTAGATACTCAGAGCTTTCCTTATAAGCACTACTGCCACGCTCCCTAGCCAAATTTAGGCAGCCTGCCTCCGTTTGCAGGAAGAATGATTATAAATCAGCAAAATGTGTCTATTGGAATGCCTCAGTGCTACCGCCACTATTCACAGCACTTTGAATGAGCCACTACCACAAAATACTCTGCATTCACCTTTGGGAGAATTTCTCATGGGACTATAAACCAGAATGGTTACCTATCGGAAGCTGAAGTGGAGAACAGGAGAGAATCAACGCTGTAGATGTCCCAACAACTAAGAGCAGCGCTGGGGTCTCAAAATGTCTAGATGGGAGACTCAGTGGAAATCAGACCTAAGCCACTCTGATCTCTCTGGAAGACCAACAGGGCAAAAGGAGGGCAATTAGCACAAAATAGCAGAGTGACAAATTTCCCATAAAATCTAGCTGTTACACTGCAATCTCCCATTTTAAGGCAGGAAAAAACACAACTTGTTTGGAGTTCCCCAACAAGTCAATGTCCAACTGGAAACGGAACCCAGGCTTTCTACATCTGTGCTGACCACTGACGAATTGGGGAAACGCTAGCCATAGAGCCCTTGACAATCCCTAGAGGTCAAGCCAATTTTCATTCCAGAGTAAACCAGAAGCAATCAATCACATTTAGTTGTAGTGAGAACTTGAAAAGTTGCTTTCACTTCAGTGGATTTACCCCTGAATGGAATCACAGTTAATGGTAGCCCTTAATGTCCCTGAATCACAAGACCACGAGGGGTTAAAGCACTGATTCCCAACCTTCGGTAATGCAGGTGTTCTCAAAGGCCACGAGGGGTTAAAGCACTGGTTCCCAACCTTCGGTAATGCAGGTGTTCTCAGACCACAATCCCCAGAAGCCTTCACCACCAGCTGTGCTAGGTCAGTGTTTCTGGGAGTTGCCGTCCAAGAACAGCGGAATTATGGGAACCACTGGGATAGAGGGGCAAACTGTCTGATCTGACAGAAGTCAGCTTCCTATCCTAAATTCGGCGGCTCCTCTCTTTACTTTCCTAAGGTTTCAAACCAACCTATACGTCTCTCTCTTGTTTTTTTCTAATGTGCCCCCTTCAGTGAATACCCAGGAGCATGTGGTATGGCTTTACTGAACAATGGGATTGGAAAAACTCATTTATATTCCTTCTGTATGTGTAAGTTTCTGGAGAGACGTATTAACCTTAAGTGACATATAAACCTTTCTCTTCCAGCATGATATAATGGAACAGCAAGAAGTATTTTTGGACTGGCAAGTACCAGAATGATCACTACGCAACAAACGTTTGGTTCTTGTATATTGTTTTCTTCCTCTGATGTATTCGTTGTCTAATAGTAATTAAAAAAAGAAAAAATGAAGCCAACCTAATGAAGAATTTGGGAACTTGTTCACCCCATCTGCTCTAAAACTGACAAGCTTCCTGCTAAGCAGACTCAACAGCCTTACAAATGGCATTTGCAGAATTTTCCCCCACCCCAGTTTACAAGGGGAAAAATTACTTTGAAGAATTAATTACATTGCAGTGTGAGTAAAATGAAAGACAAAGCCTACTGATTTCCCTCCTATTTTCAATGTTTCACAGCTTGCAGTCAAGCTGGCACGAACCCTATTAGAAAGGAACATTTGTTCCAACCTTTCTATTAGTAATGGAAAATGAAGAAAAACTCCTCTGATAAACCTGTTTTTTCTTCCTCACCTCCCCCCCCCCCCCAAAAAAACCCTACCAATTTTACACAATTATGGCTTGGCAGCTGATTTATCTGAATTAGAAACCTGGGCAAAAGGTGCCCTACGCAGATGTCTTTCAGCATCACTGCTACCCACTGTGAGACAGAAAAAAACATTTTATATTCTCTGCTTTTTTAAAAATACAAATTGCACAGAAATTTCATCTGGCAAGTGTGCTGCTACTTATCAAAACCAAGTTATAAACCTGCACTCTGTAATCCTTATTACCAGCGATATCAGTAGCTCCCAAGTTGGAAGTCCTTAACCCAGGTGTTCTTGGACTGTAACTCCCAGAAACCCCAGCCAACACAACTGGTGGGTGAAGGCTTCTGGGAATTGCAGTCCAAGAACACAAGGCTGGGAACCACTGAGCTATGCTGTATGAACATGTGAAACCACGCTGTACCAATATGAGAGTATTTGCTCATCTAGGTTAATATATGACAGCAGCTCGTTTGAATTTTTGCAAAAAAAAAATGGCCCTTTCCAGCGCTGTTACTGAAGCACCTCTGAAATGAAGACTGAGGAACATGAAGAACCAATATTTGGGAGCTTCTGTTGGGTCAACAGCTGAGTCATGAATGCTTTCCACAGCAGCCCCTGACACCTCTCTTAAGCAGCGACATCATGCTTGCAACAAATGCTTATTCAGTAGACCATGTAGGCCTCCTGAACACTGCTGAACTTCAGTTCTCATCTACCTTACCCAATACGGCCAATGGAGAGGGGCAGATATGACTTGAGCTTTAATGACAACTGAAGTTAGTTAGTCCTTCTCTAGATTGTGGGTGGGCAAATATTTTCCTATAAAGCTTCAGGCGATTCCATTTCTAATTTCATGCAAGACTGATTTCCAAAAAATGTACATGAGATTTGGTGGTTCGTCCACCAGCACAACAGGTGTTCCATGGTTACGAGCTGCACCTTCTCCAATGGCCGCCCACTCAAGGGCAGCAACCAGAAGAGGAGGGATAGGGAAGCCACTTTGCTGGCTGGGAGTGGGCGCCCACTGGAGGAGGTGGGGCTTGGAACCACGGAAAACCTGTTGATTGATGGACAAATTTGTGCCCATCTCTAATGCAGACCTCTAGCAGAAAAAAATTAGCTTCTCTCCTAGAAGCCTGCTGTGCAAGGAAGAAGAGGAAGGGTGGTTAAAGAGAAAGGAGTCGTTTTGCCCAACTTTGCTGAGATCCCGCCTATTACTGGCTTCACGTTCGCCTAGTGGTGGCACGTTGCAACGAAATTATTTCAGAGAGAACACATCCACAGAGAGAAAAAGCCTTCACAATCCTGCTGCAGTCCTTACATCCTTATGCGCATGCCATGGACCTACCTTTCACTAGTTTGCCATCATTGGCCACTTTGATGGCAATTGCATCATTTTTATTATTTCCCTCAAGAGAGCCGTCAGGATCTTCAGGTATTTGGTCGGTGGAAAACTGAGCTTCTCCGGGCACGGAACTGGCAGGATCAGCAGCAACATCCTCGGGTAAAGATATTACCTGCTTAAAAGAGGGAAAGAAAATGCAAGACATCCTTTACTCTTCAACAGAAAATAAAAGCACATGGCATATAATAAGATGCGCTGGGACTGAACAAAACCATAAAGAAAAGCACACACTGCTCAATGAGGAAAAAACCCACCAGCCCACCAGCCACTCAGATGCACTGCATTAATTTTAGAGTGGGCTGGGCAGCTTCTGGCCCAATAGCACAACCCAATTTTTGATTCAAAACGCCCCTTCTGGTCTCCAAGGAACAAGGGAGCCAGAAGGGGTGTTTTGAACCAAAAATTGGGTTGGGTATATGCAGAGAGGTATATATGGTGCTATGGCTCCCTTGTTCCTTGGAGCAAGGAGATAGGTAGGTAGGTAGATACAGATATTCCACGTATTCTTAGCTCCAAGGAGGTCATCAATGGACTATTCCAACTATTTCATGGTAACATTAAAGATCCTGTATACAAGAACTGGCCTACATATTCAGAATCAGTATATGGTATGGCTTCAGAATGGAGGGTGGGGTAATGCTTGAATGAATGTTACCTCACATATCCCCCCCTGCCCTCCAAATTCCAGCTTGTGGAAATCTAGCCTTTCAGGAAAGGGCCTGTTCCAGAATGTGCTAGTTTTCTACATTTGAGGTTCTGACAGACTTGAATATTCAAGAGTCCATTCTTTGTCTTGTGCACCTGCGCCTTCCCCTGAATTCTTATATCAGCCACTGTGCTTTTGCTCCTCCAGAGGCACAAATGGAATTCCTATTGTAAGGGGGTTACGTCAATAAAAAGATCTGAAAGATACTTCTACATTGATTTTAATTAATTAAAGTCTGCACAGCACCAGAGGCTTCATATCCTGTCTACTTCAAAGCTGGAAGTACATTGGAGTGACAGGACCGTTCCCCAGGTTATAAACCTAGTTTCTTATACTAGCAAAATGAGTCTGGACAAATATTCCATGCCTAAAAACAGATTATTATATCCCTATTTGAAAAGATACGTTATGACATTTTCCCTTCCTTCAGTTCAGTATTCATTACAGAATCAACTTTCTCTGACAAGGAAACGAGTAGCTAAAATGAACAATAGCTGCTCAACAGGACCTACTTAGATGAGGTGTTACAAAGCCTACACTGACCCAAGGCCCATTTCCCGAAATAGCATTCCCGGGAAGGTGAGGCAGGACGCGCGAGGGAACAATACCAAGGTGATCATTAATGGAGATCAACAGACATGGCAGTTAGCTTCGTTTGCCCCCAAGAAGCCACCTAAGGCACTCTGTCAGGTACCGAGTCTAGAGAAATGCAGAGACCTCTGGGCTGCAATCTTGCACAGATAGAAGTGTTTCATAGTTGGCTGCCACAGCAATCATTTTTCAAGGGAGTGCCAACACCAACAATTCTGAAGACACTGCCCAAATCTCACCTCTTAGACTCAACCTATATTACCATGGTCAATTGCTTAATAAAGTTCTTCTAGACTGAATACTAAAACAAGCTGATGATCTGAAGAATGGAGTGGGTCTACAACAGAGAATCAAATGCTTCGATACTTTACAGTCAAATGGAGTGCCTGCCCTTCCTGGCATGGGTGATCTACTGATGGGTTTTTCCTCGCCAGGACTGCAAAGCATGGCTTGGGTTTACAAAACATCAAGCACAAATCTCTTTGTTCAGACTTGCTGCAAGCCAGCCCTGGCGCTCAAGAGGATGGGGATTCAGGTGGAGAACGCAATGGGGAAGGCGGCACCGTCAGCACCAGCGTCGTTCTCCAAGCAACATGTGAAGACTTTCCATGACATGTAAACCAGCTTGTTGAGTCCAAAAGAGAATATGAATCCAGGTGCCTCGGACATAGGCTCCAGTATCTCCCCTGTTAGTGGCTTCAGCCCCACACAATACATACACTGCACACTGGTCTGTAGACAATAGTGAACATAAAAGAGTGGTGACAGGACTGAGTTTCATCCTGCTTTTGCAGCCTCCAAAAACCCTTCAGAACATCTATTTAGCACTGGAGAGGAGGGGCTGAAAATCCAAAAGCTTCTGTAAGTGTTTGATATAGCCTATTACACTCACTGGAAGGACAGATCCTGAAGCTAAGGTTCGAATCCTTTGGCCATCTCATGAGAAGAGAAGGCTCCCTGGAAAAGACCCTGATGTTGGGAAAGTGTGAAGGCAAGAGGAGAAGGGGCCGACAGAGGACGAGATGGATGGACAGGGTCACTGAAGCGACCAACATGAATTGGACCCAACTCCGGGAGGCAGTGGAAGACAGGAGGGCCTGGCGTGCTCTGGTCCATGGGGTCACGAAGAGTCGGACATGACTTAAGGACTAAACAGCAGCAACATGATACTCAATAGACACTAGCTGGCTTTGTTTACTGGCCTGGAGCTTCTATTCTATCTACTTGTTATTAATGAGGCTGTAGATATCTGAAGAAAGCAGGCTGAGGAGGGGGGAAAGCTACAATGATTCAAGCATATTTGACACTGTGATTTCATGCCCATTATGGCGTTCAAGAGGGTCGTAAAAAAAAAAAAAAGCAGTGCGCTAACGGCTTTGTAATAAGGATGAGAGGAAGCAGTTCTGGTATAAGAAGTAGCTAAGTGTAAAGTGAGGGTGTTTTTTAAAAAAAACACTGAAATCTTAAAGCAGCAATCTAAAAAGTTTAGCCTCACTTATCTGGTGAAGCTAATGATGCCAATAAAATTTAAGAGTGCTCACTGCATGCACTTTTAAGCTTTAGTGACTCCCACTATTTTTTTTAAAAAGCAGACAGACGCTAGACAATAATAAAATGTCAGTAATAAGATGTTATCCTCAAATGCGGAGGGGGGGGCAACTCACAAGTTAATCAGCTTAATTTATTCATGGTGGACGTGCCATAATTTGTTCAGTGAGTAAGAGGCAAAAATGAAAATATAGCATGCGATCTACGACTGATGGGGACACGTGAGGAAGTTTAGAATGGATACGGAGTGGAGGTCAGGGCAAAGGCACCCTGAACTGTTTTAAACGGAGCCAGACAGTCCAAGCCCATACTGGTTGGCTGAGATGCCCAGGAATGCTGGATATGGTCACCCAAAACAGTGCTTGAGCATCCCAAGTTGAGAAAGGCAGGTTTACTCTCAACTGGCAATATCTCACCAAGGTTTCAAATAGGGACCATCTCGCTGCTCAGCTCTGCTACCGTATACCTGTGCTCACGACCTGGGGTTCAATCCTAGGTAGCCGGCTCAAGGTTGACTCAGCCTTCTATCCTTCCAAGGTCAGTAAAATGAGTACCAAGCTTGCTGGCGGACGGCAATGTGTATGTAGCCTGCATAATTAACTTGTAAACCGCCCAGAGAGTGCTTGAAGTGCTATGGGGCGGTATATAAGCAGCACACTTTTTTACTAAATAAACCAAAATGAATATTACTGTTGGCGCCAATTTTAAAGGCACACTCATACTCAAGAGCAACACAACCTGACAAATACCATTACCCATCTTTGGTTATACCTCATTTCATTTGCTAAGCCTCTCCATAAAAACACAAGAACCAGAATTCAGAACTTGGGCATCTTAAGAGTGTTTGAGTTCCTCAATGCCCTCATTATTCTTGATGCCAAAAACACAGGGAGCATTAGAGATATTAATAGCACATAATAAAGGAAGTTGATTTCTAGCAAGAAAGGGAACTCAGATTTTAAATGCATATCTATTTAGCAAGCCTCTAATGACTGGGTTACGTTTAGTGTTTGCCAGGCAGGAGCAGTCAAGACTAATGCCTCCAAGCACTGGATCAGTGGACATTCTTCCAGAACATCACTTGAACAAGAAGAGGAAAACTCCTCCATTTAAAGGAATGGTGTCTATAAAACTGAAATCCCAAAGCTGCAGTGATTAGTTCTTAGTTTTTCTACTTAGAATCTGTTGAGTATTCCATGTACTGCATAAAACCAGAAGCAATGGTTTTGTCCCAGGCTCAGATAATTTACATTATCTGATGGACATAAGATTATTGGTGCCTTGGTTTCCTTGGATATTTGACAGCCTTCGACAGAGTTTCCAGGGCTGTCTATTTCAGTGAGAAGACCGACACTATATCTAGATTTAAGTGGAAAAACTGCAAGCATTGGTTCTGCTCCACCAAGTGTAAAATAGGTAAATTCTGGACTTCCAGCTGTTGCCAGACTATATTTCCCAGCGTTCCTCACCATTGCCTACGAGCTACACTAGTTAGGGCTGACAGGAACTGGAATCAAACCCAACGGGGACCCCCACAAGTTGGCCATTCCTGCCCTTGTTGTGCCTCAACTGCGTGCAGAAGAAAAACAATCAATACATACAACACCAAGACACAAAGAATCATAAGGAGTGATACAGGGCCTTGGGGATGGCTGTGGATGAGCAGAGTCAAAGCACTGGTTTTGACCCCTATGCCGAGATGGATAGAAGAGCCAGACACCGTGTGTCAGCAGAACATCAGCCCCAGATGCAACCCGCAACTGACAGAGGTAGAAAAATAAAAAACCTGGGAGAATTAAAATGTCAGCACCAGATGCATCTCCTTAGGGAAGAGGTTAAGCAAACCACGAGCTACCTTCTTTCTCAGATGACGGGGATGTTTGAAAGAAAACTAGAAATAGAACCTAATGCATGGGTGGGCTGGTGTGGGAAGGTGTTCTTTCAGGCTTCTAACTCTTAGATTACTTACATATAGAATCTCTATTATTTTAAAAGTGATCAACAGCGTTTTGATTTCTGCTCTACCTGTGTGCAGAAGCCAAATGTACAGGGAATGCATATGCTCGGCAATCTCAATCAACGTTATAGACAGGTTGCACTTTCCAAACCTGCCCCCCCCAACGAAGAATTTATTAGAAACCAAAAAATACAAAACCCTCTAAAAACCCTTCCTTTTTTGCTTGTAAGGTAGTTTTGCACAGGGAAACCATTCAAACAACTGACCATCTGGGATAGATACGAGATGCCCTTGTTATCTGCTATAACCACATCAGAATGAGAAGGCAGGAGTGAAGAAATTCAGGGACTGGGGCAAGGAAGAGTCACAAGATGTGATGGCAAAGGTTTCTGTAAAAGATAGGTCGAGAGAGAGAGAGAGAGGGAGAGAGGAGGAGGAGGAGGAGGAAAAAGAAGATGATGGAATAGACTCTTCCAGAATGATTTTCAACACCTCAGCAGAAAGGAGGGGAGGGAAGAGGTAGGAATCTGGGGGAAGGCTGGGGGGCATGTTTCTATGTTGCTTTGTTTTTTGGTGATTTTTTTGGCAGTCCCAGTGTGGGACTTGCTCTGTTTATATATTTTTATTTTATTTTAATTTTTGGTATTTAAAAATTAAGTGCGTCTTAACGTCCGGTGCGTCTTATGGAGCGAAAAATACGGTATATTAATGAGGATTGTTTGAGAAACACGTAATGCTAAGCGGAACATGTATTTATTAACAAAATATGAATCCCGCCTCTTCGCTAAGGAGTTGAAGCCAGAGATGGTTTTTGGGAGCCTTTCAGAACCTTAAATGTTTTGAGAGCTCTTGATCGAAAGCATTGTTAGAAGAGGCATTAGTGCTTTTACTGTCACTTCAGCGAAATTGGTGGCAAAATAATATGAAAAGGAATTATTTCATTACCATGAAGCATTGCTAAGAAAAGGCTCTCGAGGACTTAACATTCTTGAGAATTGATGTACAAATTGAAAACTGAAGACTTTTGAAAAAGGAAAAAATAAGGAAGTTTAATATGCCTTTCTTTGAAAGGCTGTTTGACTGCTTTTCAGCAGACAATTCTTTTAATTTTCTTTAAACACAGCTTAAGGATTTCCAATTATAGAACCAAGCTCCTATTACTGGATTCAGATTGGAGCGCTTAAAGAAAAAAAGGAAATGGGGTTTAAAAAACACAGAGTACTTCATTCTGCACCTCTTGAAACTGTTCAAACTCCCATGAAGATGACTGACAGGGAAGAAGCTTTCTCCACCTCTGCTACCGATAGCTGAGAGAGACCATACTTTCAAACAGGGAAGCGACAGAAGCGAAACACCAGCTCTGACTACTGATTTAGTCCTGAGCAAAGAGACAGCTTTCGGAGTTAGCTTTCTCTCCAAGCTACACATCTCAGCTACTTGCTTTCTTGTTTAAGTCAAACAAAAGCACCAGAAATGGGACAAAAATCTTAGCTGATGGAAAGAGCTAGACCTGAAATCATGGAGGTTTCGATTAAGTCTCGTAGGCTGATAGTCAACCAATGACCAGTCTAACTGTACAGATTAAATTCCAAGCAATCAGGGCTATCGGGAAACAAAGCCAGCATTGGCTTTCAAATATTTAAGGTGTTTTCTCAACCATGGAGGGCAACTAAAATGTGACGTTACTTCCAAGATATAAAATATAATTTGCTCAGAGAACTTGAAGACTTATCTCAGTGGCAGCTTCTGTACGATGAGATGATGCAAGAGGGCCAACAGGCCACCTGAGGCTAGAAGTAGGGAGTGTGTGGGCTTCCCAGAAACTGCTGGTCTACAAGAACCAGCCTCCCTTGACCCTAGCTGTGCTGGCTATAGCCGAATAGGGTTCCATGTGGAAGGCCATATGTTCAACTCTGCGAATTGCTCGTATACTCTTAAAACCAGGATTTGCAAAGTGTGGTCTAAAAGAAACAAGTGCCTTCCCCCATGGACCAAGATACCCCCCCACAACACACTCCACTGCTCTCCCATGCTATAATTTTTAAAACCAAAAAATAAAAATAAAATAAAAGGTGTTTAAGGCCTTTTGTGGCATAGGAAGAATTACTCATTTGTCTCCAGAATGCTTTAAGCGGGGGGAGTTCAAAACAGGAGGTGACAACAGGCAAGTTCTGGTTTCAAAAGATGCCCCCTCTGCTCGCCTTAATGATAGGAAATTTGGAAATCGTCAAACTCCGCCTTAAATATTTTCACACTGCTTTGGAAACCAGCCATGAGACTGACCTGATAATGTACCAGTACCCTTTAAGAACCACAGAAGATGAAACTCCAACATGATTTACTCAGACCTCTTGTTCATTCACATTTCCTCTAAAAGCATGAAAGAACTGCTTGGCACCATGTTAAATGGAACAATGAGGTTTAAAGACCAAATACTAGTCATTGTTAACAAATCCACAATTTGCATCAGAAAACAACCTCAGCAAAGTTATGCAAACATGGACAAAACAACGCGTTTCCTAGCGACGATGCTGCAAATTTTATGATCTGGTTTGTAGAACAAGAAACATGCTCTGTAAACCATTCAAAGCCACTGAAATGGAAAATATGAAGGCAACATATACACAGGTTGGACCGAGTGACCTATGCGCGCTGATACATCATTTCACAGATTACCTAGGACAGAGGTAACACTTCAAGAGGGCAAGATCGTGCGGCTTCAAGTTCCAGAGATACCTCAGGCATAAAAAAAATTTTTTTGCATCTAATTCACTTCTATTTTTTTCTTTTAAAAAGGCCCTGCTAGGACATGGACAGGTTTATTTCCACTGCTGGTTTGCAAATGTATGCAAGAGTTTATAAGAGAAGAGCCAGCCATCAATAATTCCCAACTGCAGGGGGGGAAGTAGGATTACTCTGCTTCTGAGGTTAAGTTACCAAATGCCTGGCCGCCATGCAACTGGACAACAGATGCCGCCCTGTACTTCTCCCTACAGGGCAAGTCTCTCCCTCATTCGAGGTTGGAGAGGTACCCTTTGAGCTTGAAACACCCCTTGCCCATCCTTACTCCAAGAGCCCTCGTCCAAGAGACTCTTTACAGCCAAACGCATGGCACATCTGAGGGTATCCATTTGTTCTGTGAAACTCAGCCCTAGAGGAAACGCCATCTAGCCCATGGGTTCGCCAACTTAGCCTTCGATCCACCCACTTACCCCTTTTCTATGGAGAGAAAACCTGGACCCTGGAAGAGGCCAACAGCTACACACATCTACTTTTGATTTCTATCAACGTGGGGACCCAGGTTCTTTGACAGGGATAAAATAAGATTCAGAGCCACTGCATGACAGCAGGATAGCTTTCAACCAACAACCACTACGTGCCTTTAAGTCAATACTGACTTATGGTGACTCCTTTCAGGGTTTTTCAAGTAGAGAATACTCAGAAGTAGTTTCCCATTCCCATTTTCTGGGGGTGCCCGGCGACTGTGCAGCTTGCCCAAGGTCACCCAGGCTGGCTCTGCTCGCAGGAGGCTCAGTGGGAAATCGAACTCCCAATCTTTGGCTTTCCTGTCAGATACCTAAACCACCTTTACCACCATGTTAATAATTCCATTCTATCAGCTGCCGTGCATTTCTTTCTTGTCAGTACAAGACAGGATATTTAACTTTAAAATAAATCAATCGATTTTGCTGTTTTAGCTGCCCTGTGAAGCCCTTGGAAACAGAACATGGGGGAAAATAGAGCAAGATTGCATGCAACTACAAACCAATAAATGCAACAACTTTGATTGTTTTTTAAAGCCTACCTTTGAGATGTCATTGGCCTCTTTCTGAAGGAAGAACTGTTTCTTAAATTCGTAGTAGGGATTGTATTGATGCCAAGGCTGCAGAAACTCAAACCTGTTGAGATAGGAAGAGACTTGCAATTTGTGGGGGAAACATACACACCAACATAGCTCGGCATCAGCTGTCATTTACTATTCGATCACCTCAGGCGCAGAGAGACTATTTCATATTCCAAAATATAATAACTTTGGCCTAAATGCCCAGAAGATACATACGTTGGGAAGCACAAGCTTCCAAGATTCTTAGGCAATAATGCTTTATCATTAACTTCAAGCAGTCCCTTGAATTTTAATAGATGGAATTACAAGACATTACTTAAACAGCTTTGTTTTTTTTTTCAAAACAGACTGTCAATAAGAACGGAGCAAGCTGTTTGCTTTCAACATGTCATAAAATGGAATTGGGATGGAAGGAAAACATGCATACGTACCTTGGATCATTCTTGGCACGGACACTGGTCTCAAATTTAATTCCATTTCTCGCAACGTATTCAGCTAGCTTGTCAATTACAGGCTGGATGTCGGGAGGAGGGGGGATGATGGCAACCACAGAAGGAATTGTGCTGAAAAAGACAGGAGGACGTTATTAGGGAGAGAAGCTAAGAATACAACGCATTGAACCAGAGGAGAAGTTCATTTGTTCTCTCACCATGTGACACGAAGAAGGGAGTTTGTGAGAAATGATAGTGATTTTTAGGTAAGTTAGAAAAATCATGACACTGAACTCAAACCAAAATTAAAACACTGCCCGGTGTCACTGGATATGAATCATTTATTTCAGCTTCAGGATTGGCAGCTCTGAAGAGTTTGCAAGTAGGGTTCCAGATGGGAGTGAAGGAAAGTGGGACACTTTCTTAGAACTACTGCCATACCAAGGCTCATATCGGAAAATTAAGAATATTTTAAACTGTTCTGTGCAATCAAGGTGGCCAGTGTGTTGCTTCAATCCAATTCTATGTTGCATCCTGACTTGATAAGAATCACATATAGCGATATTTTACTGTTTCATTACTATATTTCATTCATAACAGTGGCAATTATGTACATTTGGAACAACAAAACAAAATCCAAAGTCTAGTTTTTGTGGCTGATCCTAATGAAGGTACTGCTCACTTGTGGGTTTTCGGTTTTGCTTCCGCACGTAAAAATGTAAATGCTGAGGATGTCAACATAACCTTCTGCAGTTTCAGAATCAATAGAAGCACAAAAAGACCTTTCATAAGAATAATAGCATTACAAGATTTGAAGCTGCAGGGAATCGATCAATAAATTGGGCCATAAATGCTGCATTTTCCATGTATTACTTTGTAAAATTACACACAACCCAAGTGACTATTACCAAGGCAAAAGCAATCCTACTTGGAACGGCTTTCAAGTCAACCGTGAGGCTTAGCCAAGAATTTATGACAGAATCGTAGCTTCCCTGAACTGAACGCAGCAAGCTTCCCCGCACAGTGGCAAACGTAGCCACTGTGACGAAAAACGATGTACATCGTTTCTCTGCAACAAAGACTTGTCTGCCACCAAAGAGGCATTTCTAAAAGTGATGGAATGCCTCACTCATGGACAACATATGTATAAAAACATGCTGACCATTTAGGGGTTTTCTTCCTGTAGATGTACCAAAGCCTGTAACTGTTTTAGAGTGCCAGAGAAGGGCCTTTCATTTAAGCTGCCTTTGTGGTTTCAACATTTCAACAAAACACACACCGTGAAATTTCACATCCGCTAATCATCATAAAAGACCTTCACATATCCCCTTCTTCATCATCTGTAGAAGCTATTCACACCCGTCTTTCTCCAAACCAGAGCAGTCATAAGACAAGCGCATCTCAAAACTTTCTTATACTTTTGACAAATATAAAACCTGCATCCAGACCCTTTCAGTTTGGCTCTACTATAGCAGCCCACTTCGCAAATGCTGATGCTATGCAAATCACAAAACAAAGTATTTGTACATTTAGGAAAATATATGGGACATGTGAGGTTTGGGGGCACAGGCAGACCTAATTAGAGAACTTTTGGAGAGGCCCCCAAAATATGAGCATCACATTACATTACACTACAAAGAGAAGTTAATAGGTGAGCTACTGTGCATCACAGCCTGTACGTTTCCAAATAAACGTAGCTTGCTTAAAATTCTGATATGGCAAAAATCTTACAGACTGAGAAGTACCATGCTCAGACTTAACAAAGGGCTCACGTTTGCCTGTACTCATAAATGTGGCGCTGCCAGTGGGCTCATAACCAACAAGCTGCCTTGTGGAGGCCCAGGTTCTACAAACCACCATGCGCTTGAGATGAGGCAAATAGCAGGCTGGATCATGGCTGTAACAACTGCTGTGGATCAACACAGAAACACAGGACAGGCAGGCTTCAAATGACGTACCTTGTGGATGCCGTTGTGGCAGGCATCACTCTGCCAGCCTCCTCGGCCGCCTCTGAAGAGGGAGGGGGTGGTGTTGTGCCTGGAGGTGGAGGCGCTGTTATCGTGGCAACCCCTGTAGTGCTTGAGACGGTCACTCCGGCTGGCAGTGCGCTGTAGTAAGTGGCCATATCGATGCCTGGGGGCGGAGGGGCGAGGCAGTAGGTTCCATCTGGCAACATGTAGTAACTATAATACATGGCTGCCACCGCCGCTATAAATGTATATATACATAAATAAAAGAAGAAAAAATTCTATGATCAGTACTTTGGGCTGTTTGAAGACAGAATAAAAACTCAGAGCAACAGAGATCTTCCCTCCACCTCTTACTGTGCACCACTGTCACATCATAAGGAGCACATCCATTTTGACCTTTCTAATGGGTAATCACACCCTTCCCCCCCTTTTTTTTTGCACAGAAAAGGAGGAATAATGTTCTGTCAACACATTTCAGTGAAATGAGGCAAACCCACCCAGAACCGAATGGAAATAAAGAGCAGGGTCAGAAAGGAAGCAAACCAAAGAGGAAATGAATCCCAAAGTCTTTTTCTTTTAAGTCATTTAAAGTTAATTCATTTAAAGCAGAAGAATAATGTTTATGTTTGCCTGATTAAAATCAGGGGAATGAGGCAATAAGTAAAATGTCTTCTTTCTGGTTGCATTTTTTTAAAGGATTAAACTGCTTCAAAGCTCAACAGGACTGTAACTGGTTACTCTTGCTCAGGCAAACAGTTTTCTGTGCGATTCAAATCTTGCACTCCGGCTACTCAAGGCGGGTTCCATGCAAGGCTGCAATGAAGCTGAAGTTGCTAAGTGACCACCAGCTGCTACATTTCTGACCTGGAGGCCTGGAAACCTGTCCTTCCAAGTTCAGTGGGTGGTCTGTTCCTAAGAAAGGTGGGCAAGTGATAAGTTTTGGAAGGAAAAGGACTAGCGAAGATGTCACTTGCGAAATTATGGGGTTCAGTTCTCATTAAAACTTGTTTGAGTATTAGACTAGGTCTTAAGGAAATGCAAGCTGAAGTCCATGCTGGACCATTCAAATTTACCATAATAAAACATTCTGAACTGTCCGGATGATGGAACAATTTTGTGCCAGGAGATGCTTCCAATTCATGTGGGAATGATAGCCAGGCATCTTGAACCTCCTCAATAATGCTTTCCAAAATGTGCATCCCAGACTTTGTTGATTATTGTCCCTTGGGGCTGTCTCAGCAGGACAAAATGGGCAACGGCCATAGGTTTGAGAAAATGTTTGTCTACTACTAATGAGGTTCTCCTTAAAAAGCTCAAAATTTATCAAACTCTTGTGCTCTTAACAGACCTCAGACAGCACCCTGATTCCCAATGACAAAAATATATATAAAGATCTGCATGTCCAGCTCCTAAGAGGTGAATGCATAGGTAATACTTCCCATGCAGCATTATAAACAGGATGTATCTGCTGTTAAAGATCAAAATGAATATAATCTCAACTGGTTCATGTTCGCAAGCATTCCTGTTATTTTGTCATCCCTCTTGCATGAATTACAGGGTTGCCAATTTAAAACAGCTCAGCTGCTTATGAAATAATCACCTTTCTGTCATGAGTTATGAAAAGTGTGCATAATTTATGTGTTCCACAGGCACAACAAAAAATTATGGAAGTTTGGATCCTCCAGAGACCAAAAAAAAAATCCCACAAGTTCACAGCTGGTAATGCACAATTCCATTAAATATACATGTATGAATTCGTCATTTGTGAAACACCAGCTGATTCTGCCACTTGAAATAGGACTGTTTTTTGCTGTTTCTGGAACACAGGGTTGCTTTAATCCGTGCTTTTTCAAACTGCAGGAGAGTGAGACTCTTGAAATCACCGAAAATCAAAGCAACACCATAATGAGTCTGTAAATGATTGCGAGAGACTAATTGCACATGTAATACAGGCAAATCAAAGGAACAATGAGGAAAGGATTCAAAGAATGAAAGAAACAAACTGATGACAGAGGAGGGGAGGGCGATATGACTGATTCTAAGCAAAAGCCTTTGATCAAGAAAAGGAATGGAGTAAAGTCCTTACAAGGTTTCAAGACACTTGTAAAGCTTGGTAGGTTTATCCTGTGCAAGGGTTAATGTGAGTTAGCTCGTTCAAAAAAGTCAGAATGCCCCACGTATGTATTATTATATTTATTACCCCTCTAAACACACTCAAATTAAAGTTCTGTAACCACAAAATGACCCGCAGACAACTCAGCAAGGGTCCTTTAACTCTCAGTCACTTTCAGGCAACAAAACTTGATAAATTTGTCGCCTAAAATTGTCTAATTATCAGACTAGCTCAATGGCTGCTTAAGGCTTTTCCTCCTGAATTGCCAACTAATCTCATCACCATTACATTTCTTTACAGTAAGGAAAAGGATATCATAAACGACTGTGACATGCCCAGCATCTTAAAAAGAATTCAATTTAGCTGTAGCAAATCATCTAGAAACATTATCTTGAAAGATGAGCACAAGGTCCATCTTCGATGGTTATAGACGCATAGAGGCAAGGCCCTAAGAAAACAGTTCCCTTCAAAATGCCCAATTTCTATATTCTTATCTCTAAAGAAAGGTTCTACATTTCATCACTACATTCTTTAAAAAAACAGGTATTCTTCAAAAAAATGCAAGCGGCCGCCCCAGAGAAACCCATAAAGACAAATCACAAGTTGGTCTGTTTCCATATTTTTAGGAAGAAATTTTTCCACCAATAATCTATACAGGGATGCTTAAACAGTGACCAACCTCTTCAAATTTATTTATTTGTTTAAAATATTTTGATTCTGCCTTTCTCCTTGAAAAGGACCCAAGGTGGCTTACAACAATGAAAGGCCATAATTAAAGATGAAAACAATGAGTATACGACGAGGGTTAACGTCATTAAAAGAAAGGATTTAAAATTCCGAACAACGAATAAGGAGGTATCTTACATCATCATTAAAAGAAAGGATTCAAAATTCCGAACAACGAATAAGGAAGCATCTTACATCATGAACAGGCAATATTAAGGAAATATCGATAAGTATACAAAAATGTTTAAAATGTCACTCTGAGAAATGGCAAACACAAAAATGAAAAACACAGGGAGTAATAAAAATCTGGTCAAAGCAGTCATGCATAACCATCTATCTAAAAAAATCACATACCAGTACCAATATATTGGCCAGAATCTAATGGGTGTTGGACATAGTTGTGGAACTGCTTCTGTCATTGGAATTAAAGGGGATGAATTTCCATTCTTTGACGGTGCTCAAACAAAACCTACTCCTATATACACGGAAAGCCTCTGGAGCAATCTGAGAGCAGTCAAATCGGATGAGCAGAAGAACATTCAGCCACATCAGTGCAACATTGAACTGACACCATGATGTATAAAGAGAGACAGATATGCTCAAAACACTTCCTTGGGTCACATAGTGAGTCTCCTAATGCCACGGCGCCAACCCATAATGACTCAAATTACAGGCATTCACGTGATACAGTCTGGCTCACCCGGAACTTAATTTCCAATCAACTTTTACTTATCTGCTGAAGTAGTTCTTAGAAATAAGCATTGGGACACCATGGCAACACCTTCCATTTCCTACAGAGTAACTGACTGTGACTTAAACACGGAGACAGAAGATCTAGAAAAGGATGTTCGCTGTCAGTTCTGGTATGAAATCTCTAAGAGACTGGACAGAGGTGGATTAAAATAGGAGTTGTGTTATGCTATACATTGTTCGAAGCCTTGCTTCCTCAAGGAAATGTTTATGTTGCTTGATCACAAACTGGCCACAAGTCATATATAAACACTTTAAGTAAAATGAATAAGCATGAGGCACGCTTATCACTGAGCTGCTGTCTCAAGCTATCTCCAAAACTTTTCCAAAAACACTTCCTCATTTTAATATCTTTATGTTTATGCCACAGATCCTACCTATTTACACCCATCTGCTTTTCCACTGGGTGCATCCTTAACCCTTGGGATGTGCATTCTGAATCAAGAGAATCCAAATTACTTATTTTTATATTTCAGATGTCTGCGGACATAACTAGTTTCAAATATCCTTATCTCTGAATATTAAGCTGCTTGTTCCGGGTTCGACTTCTAAGAACAGTGCATCTATATTTGTCAGGAAAACATGTCATCTAATTTCTAAACATCTTTTATGTTCAGCATATTCCCATTTTCAGTAATAGCACACAGAGGGCTACTTAGGCAGATACAGCCTTCCTATTCCACATGTTCGGGCTTCTAAGAGCATGTACAGAAAGGTTCCAGCATGGGACTGTAACTTTTCAAACCATGTTGTAGAGAATGTTCATTTGACTCCCAACACAATGTCATTATCTTATTAAAAATGGATAAAAGATGATGTGCATGTTTAATCTATCACCAGGTGCTGGGTGAATCAGAATAGACTAAATCTAAAGTCCTCATTGAAAAGGAGCTGCAGACTAAATTATGCAGCAGAACTCAACAGATTTTGGACAGGAAGATTTCTATAAAAGGAATAGGATTTTAGCTAGTGGCTGTGGGAGGAATAATTTGGCTCTAACCTGACCTTGCTTAGCTTGGTATTGATCAAAACTAATACGAAGCAAACAGAATAATAAACCTGTGGCCTCTGAGAAAGTGTACTGAAGCAAGTCCTTTAAATAAACATGGCACCCAACAGAGTTTAGACTTACTTGAAGCTTAGCTGGATTATTCTTTTTTAATGAGTTTCTAGTTGTCATAGTTGCTACAGAAGCAATTATGGCAGCACCCTCCTAAATGGGAGGGGTTTCAACAGCCACAGGTGCATTCAAGATGGGAGATACTTCCAACAAAGGCACAAATGCACGAAAGTATACCCCAGGTCAAAATCACGCTTCATAACTCGTCTACGAGTTTAAGATCCAGGCTTTGTGGTGGTTACACAACATTCCCCACACTGTCTTCAACTGCTGCTTTCATTTTATTAAGCCTCCAGGGATTTTTTTCAATCTTGTAGAAAATTAGCATAACTAAGAAAATCAAGCTGGCAAAAAAAAAATGATGGCAGAATCACTCAAGACAACTATTTGTTGGTTAACATTCTGACCTTCATTCATTTGGCCTTTGGCTTGCTTTTCTATTTAATAGGCCATAAATGATCAAGCTAATTTCGACAATTTCAGTTTGAACAGAAAGAAATAATCTTCCAGCAGATGCCATGTTACTTCC